TCTCTCTCTCTCTCTCTCTCTCTCTCTCTCTCTCTCTCTCTCTCTCTCTCTCTCTCTCTCTCTCTCTCTCTCTCTCTCTCTCTCTCTCAATGTGTCTCTTTGTCCTCCTTGTCAGGCGCCATCCTTCGCCTCTTCTTTTTGTGTAGAGGAGCACTCTCATGAGAGTCCTCATCTGACCTCTCCTCTGCAGAATCGGAAGATGGCTGACTCTCTCGTGGTCTCACTAACTTAGAACGCCCTCTGCCACATTTGACAGGTGACCCTCCTTGTGCAGAAAGTGGCCGACCCCGGCCGCGGCCAGAAGGTGGACGCCCTCTGCCTCGTTCGCCTCGATACGCGAGCGGATCCCATACGGTTCCGGGATGTGCTCCATGGTGACCTACTAACTGCGGAGGTCGATTGGAGCCATAAAATGCATCCACCTGCTGATGCCGCTCCTCGCCCTCTGGCTCGGCCTATCGTTGCTCGCCCTTTGCCTCGCCTTCTGCCTGGCATTGCTCGCCCTCTAGCTCACCCTCTCCACGGTGCTCCTACTGCTGCTGATGTGCTGATGTTCCTCCTGCGGGTGCTTTGTCTGTCGGTCCTCCTCCTGCTGCTGGTGCGGGTGCTCCTCCTCCTGCCGGTCCTCCTCCTGCCGATCCTCGTCATGATGCTCCTGCTGCTTTCTCTGCACGCGCTGGTCTTTCAATCGATGGCTGAAGCCTGTACCCTCCATATATGGAAGAATCTCCTCCCTTCTCGTCCATGATCTATCAGAATCTGACCTCTCGTCCACCCACTCCTCTCCTGGAATGTCATCCTTGCCACTCAGGTCGTCATCCACATCATCCTCAGCCTTGTCCGTCTCGATAGCCTCCTCCACGTCCTCCAACCTCTGCACGGATGCCGACCTCGTAGGAGGATCACGGACAATGTTGGTGCTGCCCGCAACAGAACTAGTGCCCTCCACACCAACCTCACTGTCATCAACAACATTTGTGACATTCGCCATGTCACCCTCCAAGTCCTCGTCAGCCCAGTCCTTCTCCAACCCCAACCACCCTCCTACGATTGTGGGCCCATCATCCCCCTTGTTCTTGAGCCTGAGGCTCCAATGCGAGTACACCAGTTTCTCGGTGCCCTGGTGGTGCAACGTGTTCCTGGACTTGGTCTGCACGAGAGCCCAAGTGCTCCAATTCCTCTCAGCTGGCGAGGATGTTGTCCAGATAGAAGACACCTTTACTGCCAACTCCTTGATGTCTGGATGGCCAGCTCCGTGCACCTCCCACCACAACACAGGATTGTCCTTTGCTGCCCTCCTCACCACTGCAGGGTCACCGAAGAGCCCTCTCCCAAACTGGAAGTCGTACAGCTGGTCCTTGCAGTTGTCAAACATCTTTGAACCCTTCTTGTCGATCAACCGCTCGACAACGCTGTCAAACTGCGCCATGAGGTCGACATTGCTGAAAACAGCAACATCCCTCAAATGAGGATCCAACAGCCGTGCGACAGCATGTATGGGGCTGAGAAGCATGTCTGTCCTCTTGCCCACGTCCGCAAGGACAGCATCTCGCTCTTCTACAGTGAGGGGGGTTGGACGAACAATGCTCTGCAACCGACGAGCCATGTCGTAGATGCGTGACAAGTAGTGAACATCCTTGTCCACCTCTCTTGGCACATCGTACGGCCCCTTCATCAGCGTAGTCAACTTCTTGACACCAGCCCAGAAGGCTTTGTCAAGAATGAACTCCTCGACTGCGTAGGCTTTCAGCCTGATGTCCCCCCGCCACATCATGTCCTCCCAGGGGCGCCCGGTCACGATACGCACAAGCACCTTCTCGCACACCTGCAGTCTGTGCAACATCACGTAGTGGGTCCCAAACCTTGTCGACGCTGGCCGAAGGAGACAGGTGGCCTTCAACTCTGTGTACTTCAGCAATTGCGTCCTCAGGTGGGAACGTGGCCACCTGTGAACCCTGAAAAAGTTGACCACCTTGTTCGCCCTGTTGATGACCTCAGCCGCCCATTCCTTGTAACAGTTGCATATGCCATGCATGAGCAGATCCATGCAATGGGTTGTGCAAGGGATCCAATAAATCTGGTTGAACTCTGGATCCTCCCTCAACATCCTAGCTGCACTCTTGTTCCCCGCGAAGGAGTCTGCGCAGATCGTTGTGATCTTCTCCACCCCCCACTCCCTAAAGAACCGCTTCCACCCTGCAACGACGACAACTGCATCCTTGTCCCCCTCACTCACATCCTCGCACTTCACGAAAATTGGCTTTGAACGTCTTGCGAGGATGTAGTTCATTAATCATCGGCCACATGTGTCTGTGGTCCCGTCAGTAATGAACGTGCAACCTGTGACTTGCCAATCATCCCTGATCACCTGCTCCTCCTTCTCCAACCTGCCGCGCAACCGCTCAAGCAGGCGACACCTCAATGGGTTGTACCCAGTGGGAAGAAGAGGGCACCTCGCTGCAGGTTGTCGACCGTAACACGCCAACTGGAACTTCTTGAAACTTTTGCTCTACGCGACGTTGAACGGAATGACGTTCTCGACGAAGAACTCGCAGCAAGAGTCATCGATGTCCTCCTGCCGCGGGTTCTTCGTGTACCTCACGATTGACGTTTGTTTTGCTGGTCCACGTGTCTGGACCTCTTGCTGCACTCGCCGCCTCCTGCCTCCCGCCTGCTCCCCCAATGGCGACCGACCCAACTGCAACACACCCCCTCGCCAACTCTCCTGGTCCGCTGCCAGGCCACCCACGAACTGGCTCCTCGGAGTCAACACCAATCTCGACACCTCCTCCATCACCCTTTGCAACACCTCCCATCGTGGCATCCTCATCTACGTCACTGTTCTCCTCCTCCAATGCATGTTGCACCCTATCCAGCAAGTCCGGAGGCATATCACAACATGCCTTGTGCAGTCTCTTGCAAATGGATATGGTGCCATGAGGACACCGGGATCTCTTCAAGAGGAAGTGCTCATAAGCCCGTTTTTGTGTGCCGGTCCACTCGCGCTGGCATAACATGCAACGCAACTCTCTTTGACCTTCAAAATTCCCCTCCAACTGTTGACCAGGCTCCACGCACGTCCACACACAGTGGTCACGCCTGAATTTGGTATCCACCCTGAACGGATCCCTTGCACCCCCTCCCCCCGCTGCGCTGGTACTCACCATGATGATGATGCGGCTGCTGCTGACGTGGCTACTGCTGACGTGAAAATTGCTGTTGTGGTGCTGCTGCTGATGCGGGTGCTACTGCTGACGTGGAAGCTGCTGCGGCTGCTGCTGATGTCGCAACTGCTGTGGTGCTGTGGTGTTGTGGCAACTGCTGTGTGGCTGCTGCTGTGGTGCTGCTGCTGTGGTGCTGTGGCAACTGCTGTGTGGCTGCTGCAGTGGTGTTGCTGACGTGACAACTATTGTGCGGCTGCTGCTGATGTGGAGGCAGCTTATGCCTCACCTCCTAATGTGGCAGCTGCTGTGTGGCTTCTGATCTGCGCCAGCTGCTGTGTGGCAGCTGCTGTGCGGGAGCTGCTATGTGGCAGCTGCTGTGTGTGCTGATGTGGCAGCCGCTGCGGCTGCTGAAGTGGCAGCTTCTGCGGGTGCTGATGTGGGAGCTGGTGCAGCTGCTGACGTGACACGTGCTGCAGCTGCTGTCTTGGCAGCTGCGGATGTCGTAACAGCTGACGTGGCCACTGCTGTGTGCCTGCTGCTGATGTCACACCTCCTGATGTGGCAGTTGTTGTGTCGCCGTGTGCCGTGTTTGCTGACGTGGCAGCTGCTGCAGCTGCTGACGTGGCAGCTACTCCTCCACCCGTCCTCCTGTCATCCTGCCGCTCCAACCTGCGCAGATGTTGCACTTTGGCGCCTCATCTCTCTCTGTCTGTCTCTCCCTGTCTGTCTGTCTCTGTCTCTCTCTCTCTCTCTCCACAGCAGGAGGAGAAGAAGAAGAAGAAGAAGAAGAAGAAGAAGAAAAATTTTCCAAAAAAAAATGGATAAAAAAAGCAGTGTGATGATGTGGCGGCGTGGTGCTTGAGTAGGTGGACCAGAAGGAGGAGGAGGAGGGGGGAAACGAACAAGAAGACGATGAGGAGGAGGACGAAGAAGAGGAGGAGAAAAAGGAGGAAGAAGAGGACTCGGAGGAGAGGGAGGAGGAAGAAGAGGAGGAAGAAGAGGAGGAAGAAGAGGAGGAGGAGGAGGAGGGGGAGGAGAAGGAGGATAGTAGCAGCCTAGCAGGAGAAGAAAACAAAAAATAAGATGGAAAAAAAAAGTACGCGCTGACGTGGCAGCCGCAACCGATGGGACTTGGGGGATGAAACAGGAGGAAGAAGAGGAAGACGAGGAGGAGGAGAAACAAGAGGAAGAACAGGAAGACTCGGAGGAGAAAGAGGAGGAAGAAGAGAAGGAGGAGGAGGAGGAGGAGGAGAGTAGTACCAGGAGACGAACGCTGACGTGGCTGTCGGGACCGATGGGACGTGTGGGGATGAGGAGTAGGGGGACGAAGAAGAGGAGGAGGTGGAGAAGGAAGAAGACGGAGGGGAGGAGCAAGAAGAGGAGGAGGAAGGAGAAGACGAGGAGGAGGAAGAACAGGAGGAAGAAGAGAAAGACTCAGAGGAGAAACAAGAGGAAGAAGAGGAGGAAGAGGAGGAGGAGTTGGAGGAGGAGGAAGAGGAGGAGAGTAGTAGCAGGAAAAAAAAAAAGAAAAAAAAAGATGGACAACAAAAGGTGCACGCTGACGTGGCAGTCGCTGTCGTTGAGGGGTGGGCGATGAAGAGTAGGGGGACGAAGAAGAGAAGGAGATGGAGGTGGAAGAAGACGGAGAGGAGCAAGAGGAGGAGGGGGAGGAAGAAGATGACGAGGAGGAGGAGAAACAGGAGGAAGAGGAGAACGAGGAGGAGGAAGACGACAACGAAGAGGAGGAGGAGAAGAACAATGAGGGGTCCGAGCACACGAAAACGAAAAAAAAAAAATTGTCGCGTAAAGTAAAATTCTTGTGTACACTTATCAGCCTTGAAAAAACCAATATTACAATGGAAGCACCTATCTCTGATATAAGAAAAAACCTGAGTAGATCTGGATTTTATATACAAGCGGGTAAACCACATGCCAAATTGGCCTCGGTGAACTTGGATATTGCAAAGATCACAACCGATGACAACGTATGGGAGGAGGAGGAAGAGGAAGACGAGGAGGAGGAGAAAGAGGAGGAAGAGAAAGGGGAGGAAAAAAACATGCGCGCTGTCGTGGCAGCCGCGACCGATAACGAAGTGTAAGAGGAGGAGGAAGAAGAAGATGAGAAAGAGGAGGAGAAAGTGGGGGAGGAGGAGGAGGAGGAGGAAGAGGAAGACGGGGTGGAGGAGGAGGAAAAAAAGGAAGAAGAGGAGGAGGAGGAGGATGACGAATGAAAGCAGACAAAAACAAAAAAAAAAAAGTCAGGCGCTGACGTGGCAGTCACTGACGATAACGACGTGGAGGAGGAGGAAGAAGAAGATAGCCACTGCCGATAACGAGTTGTAGGAGGAAGAGGAAGAAGAGAAAAACGGGGAGAAGGAGGAGGAGGAAGAAGAAGAGGAGGAGGAGGAGGATGGCAGATGTGGCAGCCGCGACCGATAACGTCATGGAGGAGGAGGAAGGAAAGACAGGCGCTGATGTGGCAGCCACGACCGATAACGATGTGGAGGAGGAGGAGGAAGAAGAAGACAAAGAGGAGGAGAAAAATGAGAAAGAAGAAGAGGAGGAAGAAGAGGAGGAGGAGGAGGAGGAGGAGGAGGAAGAGGAGAAGGACGAAGAGGAGGAAGAAAAGGAAGATGAGGAGGAAGAAAAGGAGGAGGAAGAGGAAGAGGAGGAGGAGGAGGAGGAAGAGGAGGAGGAGGAAGAGGAGGAGGAATTTATATCAAGTCAGGTATGAATTTGAAAATAAAAATTCCCGGATTTATACAAAGTCAGGTATGAATTTGAAAACAAAAATTGAATTTTATCAAGACAAAATTTAATGAACTCGTTAGATTGTTGAAATTTCGACAACACTTCCTCTAGACAAAATGTCCTTCCATAATTTGTACAAAGCTAAATACAAATTTGAAAAATAATTCTGACTTTACAAAGTCAACGTTTGTCTAACTCTCTTATTTAGTAAAATTTTGGGCAGCACTTTCCATAGAAAAATATGTTTCCTAGAGTTTTACTAAGCCGGATATGAAACTAAGACAAAAGTTGAATTTGATCAAGACAAAAATTGACTAACTCCTTCGATTTGCAGAAATTTAGGAAGCACACTTCCCTTAGCGAAAGTGTCTTTTCAAAATTTATACAAAGTTAAGTATGAAAAATAAACTTAACTCAGAAAATGTTGAAATTGAACTAACTCCTATAGCTTCAGCACATGGCGAGCAGCTAAGGCAACTACCTATCAAAGCTAACTTGAAGACTTAGAACCAGCAAAGTCCATACTTATTCAAATGCAATCTCATGCTACAATGGGTTAGTACTCTCACAAAAAATCCCAAGTTGTTTCCACATAAAATATTTCATTGATCCTCCAGATAATTAACCTCTTACCCATCTTACATATAACATGGCGCTAGACCATTCTGCTTAAAAACAATACTTAACATGCCTTAGATTATACACAAACATGTTGCATAACTACTTTTCTCTTCTTTGGGCATGTGGCTACACAATTCTTCTTAAGAACAATGTCTAGTCGTCTTGAACATTTTTAATATTCAAAGTTTAATAATTTTATGACTTGTATTCTGATATGGGCAAAAGACTGAATCATTCTGCTTATAAACAATGTTCATCTTGTCCAATTTACTTCCGATTATACTTTTGACTTTATATTTCTTCTTAGTGATATGGCTTAAGCTAAACCTTTCTTCTTAGAAACAATGTTCAATTGTCTGTTCACATGCAAATATATATAAAGTATTTTCAATTTATACTTAGTTTGCGTGTATGTGTGTGGCTTCAGGCTAAATCATTCTGCTTAGAAACAATGCTTACTCTTTCAATAAAATTATCTCTCAAAATAAAACAGAAGACTGAACTATTATGCTTACAAACAATGCTCAACGTATCTGAAATCAAAAAAACATGAAGTTTGACCATTTCGTCAAACTTCAGTAAAAGGAAAAAACAGATAGACCAAGTAATTTTGCTTAGAAACAATGTTAGGCCTCACAAATCAGATAACCACGCCCTCAGAGATAAACACAACAACCAGACCATTCTGCTTATAAATAATGTTAGGCCTCACAAATCAGATAATCACGCCCTCAGAAATAAACACAACAACCAGACCATTCTCCTTAGAAACAATGTCAGACCATTCAAAAAATAAACAAGAAATATAACACTGGGTCATTCTACTTAGAAACAATGCTCTGCCTTTGATTGATCCGGTCAAACACATGCAAAACCACCTTCCTCTCTCATTCTCACAATGTATCTCTTTGTCTGATTAAGTTAGAACAAAATGAAACTGAAATTCACGCATGCATTCCTTTCAATCAGTCTGATTAAGTTCCGAGAAGAAACAAATACAATAATAGAACACATGCATAATTTCATAGACAAACTAGAGAGATGTAGTGGTGGTGGTATATTAGGCTCACACACAGGGTAAAGGAGGTACACCTAACAGTTCTTTACCTTCAGAGCCTCGACTAGGTTCCGACAGAGCTCCCACAATCGGTGGGGTGAACCTCCCACAAAGCCTTGATGCGGTCCTACGGGTTTCTAATCCTCGCCTACTGTTTTCCTCTCGTAACCAATGAATCAGACTGAGAGTAAGAAGGACAGAGGGAGAAAAGTTAGACTCTCGAAGTGCAAGAAAGGGATAAACTCGACTTGCATGAAAAAGTCTTGTTGCCTTGATGCGCCTGAGGGCCTTGTTGTCTTCATGCACCTGAGGGCCTCGCGATTGCGGCCAAAATCCAGTGGAGATGGTCAAACTCTGACTAAGCGAACTGCAATGTCACTCTGATAGACCCTCAAATCGCAACAATTACCTTTTTGCAAAGCCTGATCATCCCTCCAAAGTCGTAGTGCCTCTACACATCCCTGAAAGTCAGCGTTCGAATAAAACACCCCCCCTGTGCTTCATTCGAATATGGTATACAATCACTCTGCATGATCCAAATGCAGAACTATAGCGTGTAGTAGCGTGACACAATCAACAATGTTCAACCAACACAGCAAAATGCGGTAATGCACTGATGCACAACGACATACGACCAGTCACCAAAAACATAACAGTAGTTGCGAAGTGCGCAGTAAAACCAACTTGGGAAGTCTGCGGGGTTGCCTAAGAGAGAGAACAACAAAATTGTTGTTCAATGTCGCACTGCAATTACCTCAACAACAACATTACGGGAAAACAAAATATATAGCACTGACAGTAAACACATCAGTGGCAGCACATCGTTGTGTCAACAACTGAACGTCATCCAACCTCTCTCTAACAACTTAAATCCACAGTGCCACAACAACGACCTCGAAGTGCGGTAATCTCGCAGCCTTGCTCAACCTATTCACTCCACAAACTAAAACGATCATGCACCATTACCCATAGAATCAAGAAAGAGTTCTTCGTTTGTTAAATCCTAGTTGGCGATCATTCTACCAATTAAGAACGACCATGCACCATTATACACGGAATAGCATCCGATTTTACCATGAACGATTGAGTGCATGCAAGAAGGGGCAAAACGAGCATAAAATGAATGTTCAAATCTCCATACTCGATCTCGCTTACTACTAGGTGAGACCGAACTTTCTCCCCTGTTACTCGTACAAGCACTACCTCTACACTTATCCTTTCCACTCCTCTAAGACGTATATCTTAATCCCCCCCCCCCCCTGACTGCCCCCTGTGTTATTGCACCCGACTCTGTTCCCCACTTAGACTCACTCAGACCATCGTGTGGAGCAGCGTGGTAAAGGACGATCACTCCGGGCCGCTCCCCAGTACTCACGAGATGTACAATTTGAGGATGGGCCTTCTGCTAGAACATAGGAAGATATATCGCGCCGAATAGATACGTTGGGAGGAAATCCCGATGTGAGTACAAACTACGGAGTTAGTAGAACAAATGTCACCTCGCGTACGTCCGAAAGAGGGAGAGAGTTTACTTTTTTGGTAGGCTCAACAAAATCAGAATGAATCCTCATCTAGAACACAAAGACATACACTGATTTCCAACCATGCGCGCAGGAAGATGGGGAGGGGCTACTTCGTTCTATATAACGAATAAAATCGGAATGAATCTACCATCAGAATATGGCTAGATGCACGACTTGCTGCCCTCTTACCAATGTGTAAAATGAGAATGAATTTTTCACTAGAGTATGGATAAATACATTGCCTTCCCTCATGAGCAGTCCCTACACTTTGCGCCGCCAAATCCGCTAGCCCATCTCTGAATTTGCTTTCATCAACGTGATCATTCTATCCCAAATCCCCAGTCTACTCTTTCGCTCCAGCCGATTTCGTCAAGATTCGAGTAAGATTTTCGCTTTTTACCTCTGCCATACCCAGCCTCACGGAGTCTTCGCGCATCACTTTTTTCTCTTAGCTTCTTCCTTACTACCCCAATCCTCTAACTAACATCACTAACGCACTCGCCTTAGTGGAGAACCCCTAGTTACCATCCTTTTTCACCGAAAATGATGGGATATACGACACGTGCTCCCACACTCGTCATCTCCCAAATCCTCTCGCCTTCGTCTTCCTCTGCTCCCCGTCTCCAACTGACGTCAACCCGCTTCCTTCCCATAGCGCGGTCCTGGTGAATGGACCGACCGTAAATCCGAATACAACAACAAAGTAAAAAAAGAAGAACGTCGAACTATTTTCTCGATTCACATGTGTCATCCTTACGCAGGGGCATGCTAAACTTCTTTGTATCGGGATGTACCAAAGGACCAAGCTGCTACCCACGGTCCCCAGATATCATCATCGAAGCTGGCCGGGTAATACAAAGTCACAATATTTTACTCATTTGCTTCTCTCGGGGTTCTAATGCAGGTCTATATTTCAACAGTTCAGGGGTGTGCCAAATGAGATAGGCCAGTTGGTCCTAGCACCTGTCTCGAAGTCGATACCAAAACTGGTACCGGTCCCAAGAAAACGGAACAATCATAAAAGGTTAGAAAATAAAAATAAAGAATAGAAGTGGGTAAAACAGGAAATTTGTAAGAGGGGGAGGGCGGAGGAATCTTTGGCACTTCCTCAACCCCTCCGATCGGACACACGATCAAGACCTATACAAAATTGAGGGGGATAGTCCACCGAACCTTCAACCCCTCGATTTTCTTCAAACGCTCTATTGCTCCCTCGTTGCCGCCCGCTGGTCTCGATCCCCGAACCTGTTGCGTGTCAGTCTGATACCTCAACCAGTAGTGTTATGCCGAAGACTGACATTAATGGATGTAGAACCCTATATCAATGGGTATCGTGTCGGGCGTGGGCCTGCTGAAATGCCCCAAGGCCACCCCCCCTATCAGCTAAATCCACCACCGCCAAACATCAGTGTCTTCCGCACGAAGCCCCTGGTTCCACTTATGGCCCGACATACGCACTCTGTTCACACACCACAAAGGCCACATCACCGTCAAGCCGAGCTCCATACGAACGCACGCGCACCCCGGTCATACGTACCGTTGTTGGTGCAAATACCCTTACAAGGTTATCCGCCTTGGTCTGTGCAAGTGCCAGAAATAGGTTTTGACTTGAAATTTGAGTGCACTGCGCGAGTCGCGACTGTATTTTCTATTACATTGACTGAATGTTTGATTGAAGGTGGAGAGTGTGTATGGGAGAGCAGTATTGAAGGCATGTGTGATCTTTTCTTCTTGTTGATGCTCGTAAAGCCGACACATTTGCCGACCAACTTTGTTTTTTATTAAACTACGATCAAGTGATCTTCTCTTTTGGTTGGTACGTTTAACGACAGTGTGTGAGCGTGCACGGAAGC